AGCGGCCCGGGGCTGCAGGGGCAGCCCGCACCGCAGCCCCACCGCACGGGCCCGGGGCGGGACCCGCGGCCGGCCCCGGCAACCCCGGCGGGGGGCGCAGGTGGGGACTGAAGAAAGGAACCGGCTGGGAGAGGCTGGCTGGATAGGAGAGAATGAGCACTCGCTGAAATTCCAGCCGCGAGGAATCGTGCAAAGGAAATCTAACTTGACCTTTTAAACCTAGGACCCAGATAAACGGAGAGGTTTTATGAGAAAATATACTTCTGGGCTCCTTTGAATACAAGTCATATATATGCCAGTACCCCTGTTTTAAAATAGTCCACAAAAAAAGCATTAAGAAAGTAACTTAAAGGGATACATATATTTCAAAAACAAAACAGCATTAGAAGTCAACATGGTATCTTCTCAAGAAGCCTCCAAGTAGAGCTGGTTAGTGGAAACCACTGGTTAGTGGAAAAAACTAAAAAAGTCAACTTTCAAATTTGAAAGTTATCTTGCTAGCTATATTTGAAATATCATCCAAAATTGCTTTTCAAGTGCATAATCAATTGGGTAAGTAACATAGCAAATGCTATGATACATATAACTACTCTGAATATAAAAAACTGAAAAGCTGAGGGACCATGCAATTCTGCATGTTTAAAACAATGTTGTATTTCACTATTTGACTACACTGCAAGAAAATGTATGGTAAAATTAAGTGGGACAGAACTATTGCACTGAAAAGGTTTGATGTATGTAAGCATTGCAACACAAATTTTGACTTTCAGTAGCTCGTAGGCGTATGAAATGCATTTAAAAGAAGCCATTTTTAGACTGAAAGTGATGTCTAACCATTAATCAAATAAAACTACTTGTAGTTTAGAAGGGGGAAACAACCAAACAGAAAACTTAAACCAACCAGCATACATTTCACAGCATACAGCTGTACCAAACTGTTTTCTATTATTAGTATCAGTTTGATTCATGATGAAATGTCTATTAAACAATACCTTATACTGCCCAAACTGCATGACTGTGTACTAATTTTTACTTCTGTACTCTATGTTCCTACACTGGATAATGTACAGAATATGAAAAAGTGTGACTCAGTTGTAATATAAAACCCAAGAGCTTGCAGTTTTCACTATATCCCCTTTCCAAAATACTACTACTGCAAGCAGTTATGTAGCAAGCCTGTTTAATAAGAACGTGAAAGGTCTAATTCCCTCTTAGTAATAGGAAAGCATTAGTAGTAAGACACAGGAAGTTCGTAAGAAGCTAAACTTGCTGTTTAGGGCCTTTCCACTGCCCACATTTAGAGCTATGACCATCTCGCTAGATCATTGTTTTTAGTATAGGTTCCTGCATAGAGACTGAAGGAAATAGCGAAGATTAAAAAGACCAAATCAGCAGGTGAGTAAGTTAAATACTCTAAGAACAAGAAGACTCTCACCAACTTAAAAGATAATATAAAAATATATAATTCTTGGTAATAGATTTTACTTCCTCCTTGTTTCCCATTTCTTTTCAGTGCATGTTAATGAAGAAAAATGATACTTTAGATTTTGCGCTCACATATTCCAAACACTGAATGGCAATTACACAAAATCATTACTAGGAGAATAAGAGCATGTGTTATGTCAAGTTTGAAAGCCTTATTCCACCATAAGGTCCATATAAACAAGTACATCCAGTTCTGTGTAAATGCTGGTAGTTTTTCATTACACAGTGTATGGAACTTCTGGAGTAACTTTCCCTCACAGTATGGGTTGCACTATGGCATGATGCACTGAGCACCTGGTAGCAACATCCATACTTACTCATTTATCTCATTCCGAGCATACTCTTCATCTGTGCATTCACTAATGTAACATATAGTGTATATTAAATCATACATCCAGAGAGTGAATTATTGTAATATTGGCAAAAAAGGCTTTTTCTACCCCAGATTTTCCATATTTATCTTGAAATAATTCTGTTAATGCATGTTGAAAGTTAAAAAACAGAAATTGCTTTCTATACTAAGAACTTCACCAGTACGTAACTTGTGTTCTACTCCCCAGCATCACTGACACAAAGTCACTGAGTATACAGTGACTGAGATACTGAGACACAGTATCACTGAGACATAACAAAACTTGGAGTAAGGGGTAAAGCAGAAGTGACTTTATACTTGCATTCTGAAAGAGGAAAAGCTGATAAGCCAAACCAGAGTTCATCTAGTGAATATTCCTTTTTTCTTCCACTACTGAAGAAAACCTGAACTTCCACAAAACTGATTTTTTGATGGTATCACAGTGATTCTACATACTTATTTACCTAGGTATTTAACACTCCAGCTTAAAGTTTACTTGTCTTTCTCATCCAGGCACCTTCAGTCTCCTTAGGAAAGGAAGAGTACAAGCTTACGTCCATTGCACACACAGCTTTAGTGTAGGACAGAAATAAACTGAAGTTTCACAACTTGAGCTTTCTCCAAAGAATCTGTATGACAATGTTGGGCAAGTTGTCACACAGTGGCATTACAATGCATTTATCACATTTGTCTTGTTGAACTACTGCTAATGAGAGAGAATGACATTTACCAGGTGAAAAGGCACTCATGAAGTTCACTCTCCCTCTTCTCTGTATTTGCTACAAACAGAGCAATCTTTGAATTTATTTAGAACTTGAAAACTTTTTTGTAAATGGTGATGCAGAACTGTATATGGAGAACAGGGAAGTAATTTCTTAGGGTTGCAACCATCAAGTTGCAGAAAAAAATAGGAAGATTGCAACATGTAAGCATGCAACCCAAAACATTCATAGGGAAATTCAAGCACAACATGGAAGTAACACTTCAAGTTAAAAAAGAACATTTGGTGATGTGTAGTGTAGTATATCACAGGGATGAGAAAGAACATACTGAGATCGAATCTAAATTTGCAGGCTTCTAGTCACCTAATATAAGCAGGAGATAGTTTTAAAAAACAAACCCATCCCTAATTTGGGAACACTTGATTCAGTAAGCACTGTTAAACACAATTGCATGCTGCGTAAGACTCCAAAAGAATATCAACCCTTAAATCAAATATATACATTTTTAATATCTGAAATATTTACATGGTGGAACCTTTACACGATCCCAATTTTAAGAACAGTGTTTTCAAGTGTCCTCTCCAGATACAAAGAACTAGTAACTCAAGGTCACAGTTATGTTTTCTGAACAGGTCAACCTGTATCCTTCAGTTAAATACAATATAGAGATACTGGAACACCTTTACTTAATTTGCTTGCTATTAAGAATTGTGTTTCAAAAATTAAAAATAATTTTGAGACCGTTTGCTCCCTGGAACACAGTCCTCCTGCAATCAAAACAGCTCACAGCACATTATAGATTTGACTTCTTACCCAGGTATGAGATAAAAAAAATGCAGTTTACAGTACATGTCATCATTTATACCATATCAGTCTATTTATAAAAAAACATACAAACAAGGCAGGAAAATACTACCCTCTTTTTGTGGACAACAGACTGCATACAGTAGAAAACAAAAGTCAGGGCTAGTTTAACAGTATGAATAAAAACAAGATTTCAGCTTTGTTTGAAAACTTATGGTTTAGTTTTCATGGTTTGTTTTTTTCTTTTTTTTTTAAGAGACATATTCAAACAGGGCTTTTCTCTGTTTCTAAATATAAAAAAAAAAGTTTTAAAAAATAATTTCTTTTTAAAAAAAAATCTGATTATTTTGGAGACAGAAGTGATAGTAGATAAGGGCTAGAATGAAATTGAGCAGAAGAAGAAAACAAAAACCATTAGATAGCACTTACTGAATTTAGGTCCTGCTCTTGTTTTAATTGAGCAAATAAGAAACTTCCTGTGATTTGCACTTTCTGGGAAAGAAGCAGAGCGTCTGCAAGAGATTACGTTCCCAGCTTCATGAGTAATTCTTAACAGGCAACAAAGTACCAAGATTACTACTGGTTCACATTAAAAAGAGAAGTTTGAAGGAACTCCTTTTCCAGTCAGATGAAGAGATCAAATGAACACACAAAGCTGTTCTGTGAAAACAGCTCAAGACACTTACTTTTAAATCGTATTTTGATCATTCCTTAAATAAAAAAGGGGAAGTATACTCCCAAAAAAACACTGATAAACTTGCAGCAAAATCCTTTGTCTTCATCTGTAACTGATATAGTTCCACATTAAGTGCAAATGTTTTGCAAAATGGAATTCTTTTTCCTTAATATTTACAAGAATTAGGGTAACATAACAAAATTACCAAAGAGCATGTACAGTAGCTGCAGCTTATAAAACATACCGGTAATTGTACCTCGTGTATTATAAAGAGAACCAATGCAGGATTTGATAACTAATTGAGAAGGGTAAAAGGGGCCTCAGAGCAGAGGACAAAAAAAATTCACATTTTCTACATAAAAAAATACAGGTCTCAAGTCTCTGAGAACAGAGAGAATTCAAAGTCTCTGAACAATGGGGGAAAGAAAGCCCAAAATTGAAATGGAACCCTAGAAGCAAGGAGAGCACTTTATTTCACTAGGCCAATCTTCTTTGCTTCTGTCTCGTATATCAACAACCTCCACATTTTGACTATGAAAACTTCAGCTTCTTCATCTAGTACCTGTAGGAAATACACATTTTATAGATTAGTTTTTAGATTATGCATTCCAGTTATAAAGACTAATTGTAGATGCATCAGAACTACAAAATGGATATAGCATAATACAAGTCGTTGAGAGAGGGACGGAATGAAACTCTGGCAAGTTTGTCTGTTCAGCATCAGTGACTTGACCAGGCTCTAACTATGTACTTGTATAGGGCAGCTGTTGAGCACTTAGAGGTAGAAGCACCAGTAAACTAGTATCCAAAAGTGGTTTGGGAAGAGGCAGAGAAATGTCAGGCTTGGAAACAATGTAAGAACAGGACATTCACATGTGGTATTTTCTGTTAAATTAACTCCTAATCTCTGCTCATTTTCATTTGGAACTTCCTTGGATTATTTGTAAAACCCTCCATAGATTTCTCTTCCCTGAATTTATTATCTAGGCTTTTAGTGAATCTAGACAAACTTGAGTGTCCACAGCATCTCTCCAAATCTCCCCAAGCACTAGTCACACCAAAAACAGTCTACTATCTTGCACTATGCATGTGGCTACTACCAACCTTGCCTCCAAGTTTCCTTACAGGAAGGGAGTGGACAATTACTTTTTATTCACCTTTCAGTGTATGAAAACATGGTGGAACATTAGCATTACTTCATAATGCTCATCAATCTCTCTTCCAACAACAGGAAAAAAGAGCTTTTACTCTTCTACAGGAAAATCACCTTTTGCTCCTTAATTAGGAGAAGATACACTAAATCAGTAATAAAAATCTATTCATAAGAATGAGAAGGAACATAAGTTTTTATTTCTGATACAGTTCTGTTATTGTTGATTTTGACATCTACTCTTAAGGACAAAAGTTTTTGTTCCACATTTCTGAATATTGAGAAATTCTGAAGAGGGGTCAGTAATTTGTACCTAGGCACTGTAACTGCAAAATAATGCCTGTGCTAGCATGATGTGCTTAATCATATCTAACACATGTTTTCTGTTATGGACTCTTGCTATTTTGCATAATTGACTTTTAGTTTCAGTAAAATGTACGAAGTATATCAGTTACAGAATTTCTGCTTACCATGGCAACATCATCCAGTATGCTCTGAGGCGAGCTGTGAGCCATAACCTGAAAGAAACAAATGTTTTTAGACTGAAAATTTAGAATAAACGCTATATACATTTTTGGACAAAATCCAGTTATGTCCAAGGAATTCTGAATGCTTTGCACATGCAAGAAGTATTTGCAGTTCATCAGGTTCCAACAACATCTGTGGATAAAAATTAGTTTTAAACTGCATCAGAATCCATCATAGTGAGTACTAGTTTATGGCAAATTACTGAAGAACAAGATCCAGGAAGCTCCTAAGATTCACAGGTCCTGTATTTTCCGGCTATTCTTACATCTCCAATTATGTTTTCTCAATTTAGGGAAAAAGCCCCTCTTCCTTCAACAATAAGCTGCTAATGAAAGACAAAGGCAAAATTCTCCTGGTATCACTCCTCATACCTGGATTTCTCATCACCCTGTTAAGTATTTAATTTTTTTTTCCAGAACCAAGTAAGTTGTCTTTCAACACCACAGAGTTCTGTTTATTTTTATATATCTACACGCACCTGTATATAATGTAAGCATGGCAAATATTCAACTTCTGCTTTTGACTTTCTGCTTTCAACTGTGTCACACACTCTCAGGACTTGCTTTGCCTCTCATAAGATAGCCCAAATATAAACCAAGGCAAGCCATTATAAACACAAGTACAGGAGTTGCTGATGCAGTTTAAATAGGGAGCAAACCCCCACTTTCACAGAGAACATGGAAGATACAAACCTTAGAGCAAACGAAGTCAACTAGTGTAGCTTCTTCTTCACCAATATATTCTATTATTTTCTTGTTGATCCATGGTCTAATTCGACGTTCCATTAGTGTCTGGAAAAAAAACCACAAAAAAATGAATAATTACCTTAAACTTCACTCTGTGGCAACAATTGCCCAATAGGCATCTAGAAGACTCAAACAGCTATTTAGCAGAAGATATATTTTGCTATCAATGATATAACCCTTACAGATCTGGCATCTGCAATTATTTCTGAGAGCCACTCAAACATGTTTTTACAGCGTCTTTTTTCCTCCTTCCACAAAACTGCTTGATAATTCATAGTGGAAATTCGAGAGAGACAAAACAAAAATAAACAAGCACACTTCAGAATAAGGATTATGTATGAACAATAAACAGAGGACTCAAGTTCGACTCCACTTAATGATGCTCCCATCCACTGAGATCCCAGTAACCTTGTTTTCCTATTCAATTATAATGTTTATTTGGAAAAATTAAGCCTTTTAAAAAATGGTTAAACAAATCAACTTACTGAATCCACAATTGACCAGTCAAGAGGGTAAGCAAAGAGCTCTGGTTTTGCTGTGGGAATCTTTTCAATGAGACTCTTAATGTGTTTGCGCTTTTCTTCTGTATTGACACTGCCTTTGATATTGCTTTTATCTTCTTCTCCATAATCCAGGGGAACAAGTTTCCTTTTCCGGGGCACATCGTCGCTGTCTTCATCATCAAATTTATTGAAAACACTATCCACAGCAAGTTTCTTCCTTTTTACAGCATTGGGCTGATTAGGACTGTTGCAGGCACCTACAACCCAAAAGGCAGAATAACATATTCATCAACTGCAACCCAAACTCGTTTGCTCTTCCCTATTACTTGAGGAATATTGGTTTGTATGCTACATAAACGTCTGTGAATGCCTGGCACTGACTTTTAATCTCTCAAACTCTGTTACAAATGTAGCAAAAGAGATAAAGATCTTTAATGGAGTTTGTTCAAGACTCTGACCCATTTGAAAAACATGGTCTTCTTTCTCTGCCCTGAAACCAATTAGCACTCTCTCTGAGGGAAAACTATGGTCAAGCCACAACCTTAGCAAAGGCAGAGCACAGAAGTGAAAGCTTGCAACGCATAAGAAAAGCGCTCATCAGCCTAATGCCATACAGTCTCCCATCATTCAAGATATAACAGTATGAACTCAAAGCGCAGTCTGGCCTAACTCAGTCAAAATAGTAAATAATAAATACACAAAACTTCTGTAATACAAATGTTCTTAGTTCTGCTGCTCAGAACTAATTGTTTTAGTTTAGCAGGAGACTGCTAAGTACTGAGGAACTCTATGCTGAAATTTCACTTACCACTGGCATCAGTTCATTCTGATGTTCTAAACATAGACTTACACCAATGAAAAGCAGCAATGAGTTTTGAAAGGGATATTTACAGATATATAAAGGTGAAAAGGCACGTGAAAATAACCAATCCCAGCTCAGAACATTTCTACAAAAATTAGCCCTTGAACATGCCTAAAATTCTCTTCTTTTTTGCCCTCAAGCTTTTGGATGAAGAAAGCTCTATAAATGTATCTTCTGGATAAGACAACTCAAGCAAAGCATCTGGATAACTACTTGATAGAAATACATCAAACCTGATGACATATTTGGAAAGCCATGTGGCTACTTGGCTTGACAATTTTTATTTCAATACCATATGGAAGACTGAAATAAAATGTAAACTTGCCCAGTTTGAGGCTGAGTCCTATTTTGGGCCGATGCTCTTCCAGTTGCTGCTGTTCAGGTGAATTTTCATGAGGAATAATAATGCCACAGGGAGACTCATCACCAGGTGTGTTAGGAGTTGCGTTTCCACTAGCAGAAGAAACAGATGGAGCAGAACTGATGGGTCGTAAAGTTGGTTTAAGGCAAGGCTTTTGTTCAGGCTCCTCCTCCTCCTCCTCTGGCTCTTCTCTTTTTTCTTCTTTTTCTGCCTTGTCTTCCTCTTCCTCCTCAGATTCTGGCTCTTGTTTTATTTGTGGCTGCCTACGTCGCTCAGCCTCCTGCTCCATCTACAATGAAACACACAATTAGCAAAAAAAGAAGCTCTCTCAAAATCAGCACTGTTTGAAAAGAATCTGAAGATTCTCCTTTGTAGAAGACTTGACTGTTAGACAAGAAAAATACATTTAAGTACTGGCATTCTTCTAAGGTATACTGATTAATTCAAATTTGTTTTCGAACTCCATTAAATCTGGATGCTGATGTGGAAAGTTTTTTTGTTTCCACTGTTCTTACTGCTTATCTGAATTTCTTTGTAAGAAAAAGTGAATAGAGAAAATAGTAAATACCAAATCTCTTACACAGTTTTGCTCAACACAACCAGAATACAAAGAACTTGTCTTCTTGTCAGACCAACAGTAACTCACCCTCTGGAGTTCTGCATCTGGATCTGGATGTCCTTCAGCCAGAAGACGTTGCCTAATTTCTTCTAATTCTTCCTTTTCCCTTTTCCTATCTCGTTCATCTGCTTCCATCTCTTTCTCCCTGTCTCGTAGCCTCTTCTGAAGAGCACTACCCCTACAGAAGATACATATTATTTAATGAGAGGCTTGTACTACAATACAAGAAAACCTACATACAGATATATCTCCCAGTAAATGAAAATGAGATTGATAAGAGCATGTGGCATCCTCTGTTTTTGTAACAGAAGAATCTTAACATATCAGCTCTCAGCTTTACTATACAGAATCTACGGCACCACATTACACAGAAGTAGAGAAGGTGGATGCTGATCTCTTTAGAGAAAGAATCAAGTTTTATAGATTTTTGACAAGAACCACTTCTGTTAAATCTGTCTTACAGAAATGTTAGCTAGTCCCATGCTGAGGATGTTCCAAATAGTTTATATTAACAAGCTTGTTCTTCATATTAGTTACAGCTTCTTTGCAGTGAATTATTTAAAGGCGTGCTTGTTCCCATCTCCCTGCTCCCAGCACCTCATTTTGACATTACACTGACTTCTGCCCTGTCTCACAAAAGAAAAGTGATAGGAATGAGCAGCTATTCCGAGCATTAAATAGTAGAAGTACGGAGCTTCCCTTTTCCTTCTGCCACTTATGAAGTGACACTAAAAAAAATTAGGCAGTTGTAATCCTTACACTGCCACATTACCAGTCAAATATAAACTCCAATAAGCCTCTGCCAACAAATCCCACAACTGTGTCAAAATGAACAGTGGAGATTTTATTGTCAGGAATCCAAAGACATACCTGTAGTATTTTGGATCATCTCTGTCATCATCATAATCTTCTAAGAATTCTTTCAATCGTTTGGCTTCTTTTGCCTGCAAGGAATAGAAACTTAAATAATGATTTCTGGTTTCCTTTCCAGGAGTTTAAAGTCCATTAATGTTACTAGCAAGTTAACTGTAGATCTAGTGTGCTTTAAACTAAAAATACAGTTTCCCAAACAGAAAATTTAAAAATTTTGGTATTGCATCCAGAGGGTCCACTGGTATTGTGTCACAGATTTGCATATATATATACATAAACCCCCATCCACATACATATTTGGGTTTTTTTGTTTTATATTACAGCTAAAAGATCCTCAAAATCCTTTAAGTCTGCTACTGGGTATTTTAACGTAGCAGCCTAAGTGTATTTATCAGTACTGCTTTGTTTCAAGAGCTTTATTAAGACAGTCATGCAGAGAAATAAATCTGACCGTTTCTCCTAGGATAAGCACTCTCCTGTTGTGGCACCGATACAAACCACGTGGCACTAATGTACAGGCCATGCAATATTAACGTGCAGGTCTAACACTGTAGGGGGCGAGGGAGAAAGAGAGGAGACACTTTCTCCCCTTCTAATAAAACGAAGATGGCAAAACCCCCAGTTCTTCAAGGAAAATTAAATTAGGACCTTCTAACCTGTATTCAAGCAATATTTTACAGGGATGTCTTAGGTCGCAGTGCAAGATGCAAACAAAAGTATGTGCTGTATTACCATCCGTTAAAACCAGGTGTGGCAGTGTTCTTTATCTCTTCTAGGACCCACCCTCCCTCCAGGGGGATCTCTTCTGTTAATGGGCCATTGAGTCTCACTGCGTGACTGATAAAATGACATCATCCTATTCTGAGATGCTCCATCCCTGGGAGGAGCCAAGCATTCCAATCTGGATATAATCTGACATTTAGAACACCACAGTCAGCCTTTTCCACTGGATTCCCAGAGAAAGACCAGACCCATCTACACCACCACTGGACCTTCAGAGGGAAACGACACTCTTCTACAGGATCACTGCTTTAACAGAGCCACATCTGTCACTCCAGGAGGACTGCAGCTGCAACTTAATTGGAGTGCTACCAACACCCTGACCAACAGGGTCTCAGGTTGTATTCTGAGCCTGTCAATGATTTTTTTTTTGTACTACTGCATTTGTATTTTAATTTTCCTAGTAAAAACTGTTATTCCTATTCCCCTTTGCCTGAGAGCCCCTTAGTTTAAAAATTATAATAATTCAAAGGGAGGGGGTTTACATATTCCGTTTCAAGGGAGGCTCCTGCCTTCCTCAGCAGACACCTCTCTTTCAAACCAGGACAAGGGAAAACCTGCATTCCATGCGAGTATTTTATAATCCTCTTGCCTCTGCGTGTTTCTTTGCATGTATTGCAATATATGCAATTACTAACTCATTGTCTACTCTCCCAACTTCTCTCCTTCACTAAGAAACTATGAAGTGAAAGAAAACTTAAAATAACTTCTTTATGCTTTAGCACAAAACTATGAGATTACAGAATTATCCATCTTCCAAAGGTGTCTTTTCCAACAAAACTTCCAAGTGTTATATTGCTAACTGTGGTAATTTCACATCTAATGAACTAAGGACAGGAGTTTATAAAGTGCTTAGATACATTCAAGAATATTGTATCATATTTCCATAAACCATAGAAAGTTTGGTCACATGAGCAGGTTGGAAGTTAAAAAAACAGGTCTAGTTCCACCTGCATAACAGAGAACACACAGTAGGTTTTGTCACAAATCTGAAAAAATTCACAGATGTGATAGTGACGATCAGATCACAGTATTTTGCAGCTGCCTACTTCTCACTGTTCTGCCTTCACAAGACCAAATCACTAGGCTTTGTTTTCAGACTCTAAAAAGTACTCCCACTTACTAGGCATCTGCTGTTTCCAGTCTATTAACTGGGGATTCTTCTGATATAAAAACACACATGGCCTTCATACAAAATGAGAGCTCTATTACTATCCATAAATATAACAGTGGAATATTGCATTCTAAATGGAACCAAGAGAACAAGGCAGGGAAAATTACACATCAAACTAAAAGCCTTACCATTTCCCGTCTTCTTTCTTCCTCCCTCTCAGCCTCTTTTTCATATTCTCGACTTTTTTTTCTTTCTCTGATTTCCCAGTTTTTAAGACGCTGCAATAGAAGAAAATACACTTCAATCCTCAGGAGCATTAAGAACAGCAGTACTACTTCAAAATTTGGATTGTTGTTTAAAATAGCTGTACTATAAATAAATAATCTGCATAATTGTAATTTAAAATTATGAATAGAGAATAAAATATGATAGAAAATAGAGAATAAAATATGATAGAAAATAGAGAATAAAATAAAATTATGAATAAACAGAATAAAAGGTCTGTTTTGACAGTGACTTACATATTCTGCCCCAGCTCATATACTCAAAGGATTAAAATCATCTTTAGGAAAAGGAGAATGATGTATTTTATACTAGAGGGCTTGTTATCAACTCTCAGAAATATTGTTTTATTTAAAGAACCTTAAAAATTCCAACCTACCTCTTGATATGCAGCTTCCTTCTCGCGCAGTTTCCTCTCCAATTTTCGTCGTTCGTAGGCATCTTCTTCATCTTCTTCTCGGTCTCTCTTCTTATCCTTTTCCCGCTCTCTTTCCCGCTCTCTTTCCCGTTCTCGTTCTCGTTCCCGTTCCCTCTCGCGTTCTCGTTCTCTTTCCCTCTCACGCTCTCGTTCTCTTTCCCTGTCTCTACTTTTTTCTCTGAAGAAAGAGAAAACCCCAAAGTTCAGTTCAGAGCCTTCCTCTCCATTCAATCACAGGATTAATAGCATCTTAGCGGTTATTTTTCTCCCGCAGTTGTAGAAGATAATTAGCTGATATAGATATAGGCATAAAATCAAGTAAAAATAAAACCATCAGAATGAAAGGATATCCTTAACAAATCTTTCACGTATATGTGGCTTAGACACAATTTTAACACTTCTGACAAGATGATTTAGTGTGAAAGCAGCACTTGGAATATGGTATGACTAATTACAGCTTGAAAGAATAATCCCCTTGCTTTTACAAAGAAACCCAACACAAACCAAACAAAAACCCAAACCAAACTAACTGAAAAAAACCTCCCCAAAATCCAAGAAGCCCACCACGTAACAAAGGAAATGATAGAACCTGCTTAAGCTAAAAAATATCACAAACATGAGAAAACCTTAAGCAGGAATAAAGCTAATAATGAAAAATAGGAGATATTTGAGATATAACCAGTATGCCTAAGTCATAATTGCAGAATTTCTTACTGCACATTGTAGTTTTTATATTCTTGTGCTGTGGGGGAAATCAAGTAAACTCCAAATTTGGATTTCCTGCTGTTACTCTGATCACCCACAAGGATCATTCTCTTTTGCATGGCAGCTGATCTACTGAACTCTATACATTTAGCAAACAGCACTAAAAAAAAGTGAAATGAATAGTAACTGAAGTACATTTACCTTGATCTGCTCCGATCCTTGTTGCGGTCTGAACTTCTTTCACGATCTCTGTCACGGTCTCTGTCTCGCTCGCGGTCTCTGTCTCGGTCCTTAGTTCGGTCTCGATCCCTATCTCGCTCCCGTTCACGCTCCCGTTCCTTCTCCTTCTCTCGTTCACGTTCCCTCTCTCTTTCACGCTCCCTCCTTTCTCGTTCACGCTCCCGTTCCCTTTCTCTTTCTCTGCGTTCTTTTTCAATTTCCTGTCTTTCTTTCTCCTTTTTGCCTTTTTCCTCCTCCAGTTTCTAAAAACCAACAAGAGAACTTTCATAGTTAATTTTGTAGTTACACAAACTGGATATTCCCGACGCAACACACAAGGCTGGTAATGGAAATACCAAAACCGCCATTAATTTTAAAATATAAAATAGGGTTTGGTGGGTATTTTTTGGAACTTATAAGTATGAAATCAAAATGCAGCAATCACAAGACTAAGTTTCGTGCAAAAGCACAGATCTACACAGACCAGCAATCTCCAACCTTAGCAGAGTAGGGCTGGCCTTGTATTATGAGCTGACTAAACTGCACATTCAGAGTGCACTACCAGTCATGACTCAGACGGGACTCAAATTCCACTGGCCCTATAAGCCAGTTGGGTATAAGTAAAGTGAACTTCCAGCTGATAAAATTAACTCAGTTCAATTAGGAAAATATATTTCAGTGGAATGCTTACTGGGACAGTGAGTTGTTTTCCAAAAAGTCTTGGCACACCAAAACCATCCTAGATGAAAACTTGGGTAAAGAAATATATCCACTTACACACGGTGCATGTGGTTAAAGAGTGAAGAAAACTGTCACTTTTCCCCTTTTCCCTCCCTAAAAAAGTTCTAAGTTTTCACTGGTAAGAACTGGACTCTGCAGAATAGAATCTTAACTTCCACCACTGCAAGATGGAGACAGTTAAAAAAAGGTTGGAAATAGCTCTTTTGAAACACAGAAACTAAAGGTTACCTGCTACAGTTTTACTAAAAATTGTACAAAATTGCCACTTTTTTTTCATATAGAAACAGTTCTTATGACCAGAATTCCTATAAGACAATAGAAAATACATCAACAGAATGATAGATAAATCCATCCTTGGAAGCAATTGTTATGTGTTAACTTACAGATGCTGTGCTAGGACATGGACCGCCAACACTGGATTAACCTTGCCTATTAGCTATGTTTCTGGGAGGAAGAGCAAGTACACGGTTCACAAATATACCAAATAACAACCAAATATACCAAATTTCAACCTGATGGATACAAGAATACCACTTTTTGAACAAATATTGAGCAGAATAAACAGGTTTATCCCCTTTGGCTCCACGTTTACCATCACTGAAATGAAATTAAAAACTGGAACAATGAAATAGCATTTTCTCTGGTTTGTGTTTTTTTGTTCTTTTCTTTTAAACAAAGCATTTAAGACAACTTTAAAAAGCAATCTTACCTGATTAGTGTTCTTCTGCCATAGGCACAGAGACCAGAGAACCGACAGAGGATTACAGAAATAAAGCTAATTCACTAGTGATTAATGTATCCAGTGAAACTATGCTGCATTGATAACACAATACAGGCAAACCCATGTTGGATACATTGAAATCACAAAAGGAAAAAGGGACTTAAAATGGTAGGAATTGGTAGAAAATTGATGTGAAAAAAATAAAACTTAGATCCTATAATATACACTGGTCTGAAAATCTAATTTCTAAAGAGTATTATCCAGGAGCTTTACAGTGTTAAACTCAGCAGGGTCAAATGCTAAACTAGGTTGTCAGCTTTTAAAAACAACTTACCTCAATTTTCATATACTTTTAAAGAAAGTTTACATACTGAAGTGGTTGATACTTACAGGTTATGTTAGATGTTCCAATAGACATTTCTTTAGTTGAACTCCTGCTTTTTACCACTCTCAAAAACTTTGTTTATGGTGAGATTTCTCAAGAGAGTGGGTTTCTTTCTTTTATTAAAAATATATTCACCAAAGTGTAAGTACACACACACAAGTTTTGGTATATTAAAATTCTTTTCCTAAGTCCACTTTCTTAAAACCCAATTGAAAAAATAAACTGGTATATTTTTAAATCAAAATCTGACCTCAGTCAACTTCTGCAAACCTAAATAAAAGGACCTGACAGGGTAATGGGATGGGAACAGTATCAGATAAACTGAAGTAATGAACAGAAATGAACAGGTAGAAGAATTATAAATCTTACCTTGAGCTCTCTTCAGACTCGTCCGTGCTGTAAATGGACGCCCCCTGCAATGCTGATACCCTGACAGTCTGTCGTTATTGTTTATAAACTCATACCAAAAACATGCAAAGGTTCACTGTGCTCACTAGTCCGCTGCTAAGGATTCAACAGCCCCTTTTAAACATATCCAATATACACAATGACTACTTCCAGTTGATTTTTAATGTTAAGAAACCCAAAATAGCCCCCCAAAAATACAGATCAAGGGCAGTGAAATGCCCAACTGCTTCTGAAACAGTGAAGCTTGGTTTTTGTTTGTTTTGTTTGCAATTTATAAAAAAAGTATTACTTGTTTGCATTTTAGTGCGTGTGGCAACTCGGGGCTCGGAATTGAGCGTAATTCTACTGAAGTTTCACCACTAACCAGTTTCACATTCAATTGCTGAGCTTCTCCAGATGACTTTTTCTAGATTTTTTCCCCCAGGTTTCTATCTTGAACAACTTTAGTTAAGAGAAAAACTGAATACATGTACATACAATAACATGTAGTCACCTGTGCTCATATTGATACGGTTGCATAAAAACACAGTACCATCCCCACTGACTGCATGTGGTAAAGCTGAACAACATGGGCACACTTCACCTTGCTGTACCTTCAACATTTTTTTAATGTTGATTTTGGGGGTATTTTGAAAGAAAAGTGTGTGCTCAAAAGAGCAGCTTGTTGATACTTCTCTAGACAAGGACCACTCCAATCTCGTTGGGGAAAAATTAATAACAACTTTAAGCTAAACATTAAAATAAGAACATCACATGCATAGTTGTGCTCCGATCCGCAAGTATCACTTTCCAAAGCAGAAACATTCACATATGCACTAGCATTAGTGGAAACTTCTGTAAGTGGGGACCCTGGGGTGGGTGGGACTTGATGTGCACAAACATTTCCAAGCCAGTTACCCCTTTGCATATTTTTCTGAGGGGGCATCCATAAGTATAATAAAAAACAGAAACTCATACTTACATCCTATTCCATGTTACTTTCCAAGCTGTGAGTTTCATCTTGCATTAGTCACCATATGATCTCTATCATAATGGTGGGGGTCAATGAATAGATTAGCTTTATGGGAATTTACAGTTCTTCCATGCATCTAAAGTTTGGTAAGTCTGGTAACCACTGACCTAGTTTTAATCTTCCCCCACTCTTAACTTAGAACTATTAAAATAAAAGACTTTAATTTAATTCACGTTTCATCTCTTCAAAAATCTTGGATAATGTTACAAATCTACCTAGAGAAACACACTCAAGTGTATGTCTTATACTGCAGCCCCGTTTAGCCTTCACTTATAAATATCTTGACTTAATGTATGTGTAGCAACTTAAGCTGCCTTTATTCATGCTGAAGTGAGAAGACTGAAATATACTCAGTAGCAATCAAAGTCTTAGCATAAAGATGTCACGGGCCACTTTAACGTGGCAACTGTCTTTTTCTGACTTGTAAAGAGCTACATGTATATTAAACCTAATATAAACATCATTTTAAGTGATATTGCAATGTACTGCTAAATTTTATAATAGTGGTTTTTTGGATTTTGAAAAAGCCTAATTTGTATGAAGTGCAAAAACAAGAATACTACCTTGTGTGTGTCTCTGAATTTACTGATTTCTCTTGATATCAGGTCTCTTTTGTCTTCCTCCATTTCTATAGCATTTATATCCTCCTAAAAAACAAGGGGGACAGGAGTAAAAGCATTAACAGCCATCTGTACAGACACAGGAGAACAAGAGAAAAGCTGAAGGTTAGAAGTTTTCAACCAGTCTTGCAAGAGATAAATAAAGTCCTTCTGCAGTACCAAACCTGACAGTCTGATGTTAATGAGTGGAAAAAAAAAAAAAAAAATCAGATGGACAAGAGTCACAAATCTGGCAACTAGCAGTAAACATAGTCATTGTCAAAGCCTACAATGTAAACGAACCTTGGTGATGAGTGGATAAGGTATCAGTGGGGCCACTGGAAATCTGCGGAAAATCTGCGGAAAAATCCACGGAGATTTTTTTTTTTAAAAATAGATTGCACACTACTCTGAAAAACAATGTTTTGTATGTTTGTACTACAAAGCAATATTGTATTGCTGTGATCTCATTTCTTTGATTCAACAAAGTTACAGAAGAACCTCGCTAATTCTCCCTTTGCTGAACTACTTAAAAACACATAGTGACGTCTCATGTTAGTAAGACTTCACGGAATTACAAGTGTGCTACAAGATATTAGTACGCTATGGTAGCATCAGAAATAAGGCTAAGCTACACTTGCCAAAACAAATATTTGCAGTGGGTATGTCTTGATTTTATTTACTCGCTAATTCGCAGAATTTGGTAGATTGCACCTGCTCTTATAGTTAGTGCGAATTAGCGAGGTTCCCCCGTGCTTGAAATTGAAAACCAGATTCCACTCACTCTCAGCTCCCCGCACACATTTTCAACTCCCCCACAGCAGTCATGCCTTCACCCAGAAGAACTAACAGCCTCTGCTGCTAACACCAGCGGGAGTCATCTCCACACCAAGCTCTTCAGGGGACAACAGCCCCAAAGCTGGTGAGTTTCCACACCCCCCTCACCGCCCCCACAATATATCTGCATCCACCTTCCCTTTGCCCCCCACCCAACAGTCTTTCTCTCCCCTCTCCTTTATGGACAAGAGAACAACAAGCTAGTACCATCTCTTCACTCCCACCTCTATCCACACAGGCCAAAGATGGCAACTTCCAAGTTTCTTGTCTTCCTTCCCAGTATGGGAAGGATGACGGGGTGCAATTTCAACCCACAAATGCTGCGTATTTTAAAAGAGCTTATTTGGCTACTTGACTAGCTCAGATTAGTAAAGTTCTACACAACACAGAGCTAAGAGAATATCGCTCTGTCACAGGGACATACTCAGCACCCAGCTCTTCATGACTGCAAAAGTCTCTTACAATGTTTAACTACCTGGCATTATTCATGGCCATATATACGTATATTTACCCACAGGACAATACACATTGTAACAGTGCTTGTAACAAAAAAATACAACTGACAGCATTAGACAGTGACTCATTTGCAAATTGTCATCAAAGAAAACATCTTCTCCCAAAGGGAGGGAGAGGAAAGAAAAACAAATTCTCAGCTCAGCACTTTTACACCTCAGGTTGGCCATGACTAACAATGTTGTGGGAAGATAGACTTGCTCCCTGAGGGAGATGTTTCTTGCACCACATTTAAACTCCATAAGCATTTGAAACTGCATCATTGCCTTGGAATAGGTACTTTGCAGAAGACTTAAGTGGGAAAAATCTTGGTCAAAAATTTTCCAATCTCTTTCATATAAGGTGCAGAATGGTAGGTGGGAAAGCCCATTTTTTCACGGTTAGAAACTTTGCTGGAAAAGCTAAGTCTGAGTTTGCTTATCCTTGTTCCCCCTTCTCCATTTTGTTTTAATCCATGAAAAGGTCATTCACAAAGGCAGGTCTAAAGCAGAACATTCATTCCTGCTTAACATGTTTTTTTTCGCATTGCACAAGATAGGAAAGCTGTCTGACCAAATCCAGCCAAATAGAGACGTGTTTAAAAGTGATTTTATAAGGCAGGAAGATTACGATATGCCTTTCATCCCTGAAGGATCCCTTCAAGGACATACACAACTAAAGAAGTGCTTCCACATATGGGTAGACAGCTGCAACCAGTTGGATCAAGGCACACTACAAGAATGCATACTATAAGCAGAGAGAAGAATTTTGTCAAAAGCTACCACTTCGTGGCATTATAATAGTGCCCTGGCATCTTTCACTGGAAGTGGATGGTATGCAGAAACTCTTTACAGTTGTTTTTAAAGCTCTTATCTGAAAAACCCTATATGCACATACAGATTAAACTGCACTAAATTCAGTATTTCCACCTTCCGAAGGATGAAAGGTTGGTTCAGTCCCGCCCAGATTCAAACCTGTTGTTCCAAGAAGTTTACGTGCTTAAATGCCTAAACCATCCTGAAGGGATGGTGTCTATAACTGACTAGCTTTCAGCTCAAAAAAAAAAAAGAGAAAAAGAAACTGCTGCTGACATCAATGCTTGTTGATTTGTTTTCTCATCAGAAGTTTAGGTTTAAAGTATTTGCACAAGGTTTGGCCATTATATAAAGGTGAGTTGAAGAAAAAAAAATCTGTTTTGTCCAAAATCAAAACACATACGTCCTCCTTCTTTTCCTTTTTCTTCTTCCTGGGGTGAGAGTCAGATTCCTGGGAGGGGGCATTGAGCTCGCTGGAATATTCTCGTATTAAGACTTCAATGGCCCCTTTAATTATCTGATCTCTTCTCTTTGTTTCCTCATCCAGTGCTTCATCATCGTCATTTGTTGTCTCCGGTCTGGAGTTCTAAGGAAAAATGGCAAAGAAACAGGACTTAACAAATTAAGAGTAATAATGCTTTTATCAGAAATTAATCTTTCATCATCACAGTCATGCCCCTACAGTATTTACTATAAAAAAGCAAACACCTCCCCCAAAACCAAAAAAAAAAACCAAACTAAAAAAAACCCACAAAAAACCCAAACCCATACAAAAAAAACAAAAACAAAACAATTCACCACATGAAAACCAAACCACCTACAAATACAAATAATTATCAGCTACATTATATTAGTCAGATCTTTTCACACTGGCAATATCACAGTTTTTTGCAGTTTTATGGAATGGCTGCAGAGAGCAAGTGTAAGATTGCACAATAAAATAACATAATAAAATGGAACAGAAAAATGGTGATTAAGGCAGTAGACAGGAAAAGAGAGAGCACCCACACACTCCCAGAAAGGCAATCACTATAGTGCAGCTCTTGGTCAAAAGTTTTGCCTTTTATACTCCAGAACTTCAAGTCACTTCAACATCAGTTCCTCCTTCTATTTAAGTGCCATGCAATATGAATGCCTACCTAAAACTTCCAAGCTGCAACTTCAAATGGGAGAACTATATTAAAGAAACATCATTAGGGAAAACATTCCTTGCACAACAAACTATTTATTTAATAATTTTTGATCAAGTATTTTGCAGTTCCTCATCTTTCTGCCCCTTTCCACCCTGTAGGGAGGAGAAGGAACACAAAGAAGTGCCTTTCACTAAGTATTACGTGAAAAGGTAGAACAACACCGAGCAAGGTAGCCCACCTCTTGATCCCCTGAATCTTTTAGAAAAATGGAATCTCACCTGAGAATCCAGCTGGGTATCCCGTCAAACGATAGGTGGTGGGTGGAGTGAGGGGGAGGGAAGGGTCTGATGGAGCAGCAGCTAAGAATGAGGGGGAAGGGAGGATTCAGTTGGAGCTGAAGAAGCTGCCAGGCCAAGGAAGAGCAGGCTGAAAAGAGCTAGAAGGTAGTGACAGGGGGTGGAATTGAAGAGATCCAGGGAGAAGTAGTGATCAGGGAGAGGAGCTAATTAGATAAAGGTTTGCTTGGTGTGTCTCTATATGAAATCGTATTGTAGTTTACATGTTTGATTTCTTAATTCAAAATATTCAAGAAAATTTGAAACTTTTGGATCCAAGTGGCACCAGCACACCAATGATGGTGTGAAAGGAATTGCAAGCAGTTTGATTGCAATGCACTTCATCAATACTTCTCAGCAATTCACAGCCTTTCTTTGCACCACCACAAAAAAGAGCAAAAAACTAACCAAATCCAGTAAAATCCAACAGAAAACATGGGGTCAATCTCATTCTACAGTTCAAGAGAATGGGCTCATACAGATGCCTTCACCAACAAACAGTACCCGCTGCTTTATTACAATCAACCCACCCAGACTGACTGTAACTCACAGAAAACAAAATTCATGAGAGATGTACAAGAACTCCTGAAATACTTTAAGCTTGTTTGTAACATCAGCTGTGAAGCACAGTATCACAGGTGATGCCAACATGAAACAAGGAAGTACAGAATGAAAGGGCACTCCAATCAAGCCTTAGCTAGGCTAAGAGCTAGTACAGTATCCCACTCAAACCTCACAAAGTTAGCACTCTGCTTTACTTAGCCATTGCATTTAATCCCAAACACAGGGTATCCAGTCAAAACATGCCAAGTACTTCAAGTCATCATTACTGTGCTTCTACTTCTGGTTAGGTAAAATGAAATAAAAGTATCTGTGTTTCCACTGTAGTCTACATACATTTAAGAAAAATTCCAAACTGGAATTTTTAAAATTTACTTGCTATAGTGCGATTAGCATTTTTAGTTTTCTGAACAAGAGCCTATTCTCACTTTGATTTTGCAGAAAAAAAATTGTTTTAAATGGTATCTTAAGGCACATGCAAAACTTCAGGATTTAGAAACAAAGGCCAACTTGTTTGGGGTTGAAATACACTATTTCAGCAAAGAAACAGATACATTTAACTTCAATGCAAACTTGTCAATTAAGTATCTTTGCATCTCAGTAAGAATTCAACATACCAAATACCTGCAATTATTCCAGAACAGATCCTTAGCTTTAGAAAGGGATAGTACAAAAGCAATTTTCACATCTACTAAATGTCTGAAAGCAGCCCACTGCCTGATACCTATTTCTTCTACTGAATGATCTACTTCCTTTTTCATTGATCTGTTCCGAAATATCATTAGTGGAGAGGAAAGAAACTTCAATTCCCCTCAGACAGCCAATTTACAGATTGACAGAGTTAACTTCTTCTAGGGTTTAAGCATTTTCAAGAATTTCTAAACAAAAATGAAGCAACAGAATCAAAACATATAGCACCTATTACTACATTTTATAATGAATTACAGAATTGATTCTAGAAATGTAGTTGTATCTTGCAGGTAAATTCAAACACTATGAAATTAAGAGCTTACACTTCTCTGCCTTTCAACATATCTTCAGACTCACTAATGTGATTCTGGCAAAATCCTAAAAGGAATTAAAAGACACAGAAAGGAGTAGAAACTGAGACATGCTCACAATCTGATCTAGCAAGTAATGCTACACTGACATTCTACTAAAAGAATGCAAATCACACATTATATACATACCCCATTAGATGCCTTTTTCTTTGCTTTCCATTCATCCAGCTGAGCCTTTGTCTTTGCATCAACTTTGACCAGCAGTTTCTTCTCTCCAATCTGGAGGTCATGGAGTAGTCTCAGTGCTCGTAGGGTAGAATCTGGCTCTTTGTACTCACAAAATCCAAAGGCTGAAATGGATGATTGAAATGAGAAGTAAACACATTAAAGCTCTTCAAGTAATTTACTTTGTTTAAAAGTATGTTTTGAATCAATAAAGTTGGAATGCAGGCACTTGTTTTTTAAAAGCCAGGAGTACACAACATAACAGCTCAAAATTCACTCACTGAACTGTTAATTTGATATAATTAACAGTCCAATAAATAAGATGGAAGCAGTACACACATTGTAGATGTCCCATCCACTGGAAACTTTCATGGTCAGATTGGATGGGGCTCAGAGGAACCTCATCTAGTTGAAGATGGTCCTGCTGTTCAAAGGGGTTGGACTAGATGAACTTTAGAAGTCCCTTCCAACTCAAACTATTCTATGATTGTATTTTTAAGCTTTTAACATATCTGCCTTAACTAAGAAACGGAGCTATTCGATGACATCTCAGGTGGATTTGCAGTTGTATGATGACCAAGGGCATATAGTAACAGCTCACTGTTAGCCTAGATAGAAGGGTTTTTCAAACTAGGTTCTTCACAACAGTTACATAAAGCTTTAAATGAGAAAAACATAACATCAAAACAAAAAAAGCGTGAGATACAAAAAAGCTGAGGGAACTGAACTAAATCTTAAAAAGAAAAAATCCCACAAACCTAGCAAGATATAAAAACACAGCAAAAAATGGTAACCAAAATTGTTTCCTGCAATCACCAGAGAAAGGTCACAAAAATTAAAACAGTTCAACTTGACAATAGGAAAGGTAAATTTTAAACCAGGAAAACCTCTTTCACACAGAAGGACAATACATATTATTGAAAGTGATTTGTAAAAGTGTTAGAATAGTATCTTCCTTTGGGGGCTAAGCCCAAACTGGCAAAGCTTTCTCTGGAATAGTCTGTAAAACCATTTAGTTTCAGAAAAGAAAGGTAAGCAAAACTAGGCTTTCAAGGTACTTTTCCATTTAACCTTTCTCAATTATATTACTTCATTTTCAATTCCAGAAAATACTAGCCCTTTACCAGAAAGTATTTCACAGCTATCATATTACAGCATCTTAAAATGTAAAATGATTAAGAGTAGTAACATGTCAAGATACTAAAAAGCTGCAAGCTAATAAAAACAAGAGTATATCTAGAGATTTTGAGAAGTGTGAATTGTTACCTTGAAGTTTTCCAGATGCCCCTTGTACTCTCTTCCAACTCAAAACCAAACCACATTTCTGCAATTAAGAGAAGTATCATTAACTATTATTTTATATTCAAAACATTACAAAAAAGTAACCACTTTTTTCAAAAGATTATAAAATTAAAAAATTGTAAACTCTACTGAAAATAAAATACATCTATATTCACAGACATCTATAATGTCAAAAAGCTGTACTTTTCACTTACTGAATTCAGGCATAGTGAACTGCTATTCCAGTAAGTGGGGATAGCTCTGCTTTTAGTTTCAATACACTGTTTGTGGATCATTACTTTACTCATCAGCCAGGGATGAAATTTAACAAGCAGTCTGCTGCACTTACTGCTAGAAGCTGCCGTATGAGCATGTCTGAGGCCTTCTCTGAAATGTTGCCTACAAAAACAGTAGTAGTGGGACCACAGTTTTCATCATTTTCTTTGTTCTTTAAGCCAGGATGGTCTTTTCTGACTCCCAAATGTTTTCCAACCATAGACACTGTGGTAGGAACTAACACCTGAAAAGAGGAGGAGAAGTTGTAAAATAAAACAATGGATTGGTTTTTTATTTAAACCAATAAGACGTAAGACTTAGGGATGCAGACTTACTTAAAAATTGAATTTTCATATGAACCTGAGTTAGGCTTATGGAATAAGACACCAATAAGCAGTACAGGCTTTACTACTTTCTACAACACAAAAAATTGGCCATTTTCTGGCAAAGGGAGATAACAAAACATGTAACTGAACACAGCCACTGGAGGTCTCAAGGTGAGCATACAGTAACATTGGGTATTATTTCTCCTACAAATAACAAGTTGGCAACATTTAAGGCACCAGAAGTTGAATTACCTTGCCCAGCAGTGTAAAAACCAAGCTGTGAATAAAAAGCTAACTCCGGCTCAAAGGCTTCAATGGACACATGATCTTAAAACTTCCACACAGTTAATAAACACTACTGCTTTATTTAATGAACACACAGCCCAAAGCCTCTTTAGGTTAAGGAGCAAACATCCACAAATTAACTGTACAAAGACAGGCACAATCATCTGCTCCATTTTGCTGCACTTCTTCCACCTAAGACTTAACAGTCCTTAGCACCGTCTTCTCTACTCAGAATACCTTTCTAAAAGTACCACTTACTAAAAGTTATTTTAATCATAAAACTGAATAATAAATTTGTTTCAGTATCTCTGTCTTAAACACACACTGGTTACCATGAACATATCCTCCTCGAGGGGCTAACACAAGCTATCAAAAAATTCTGTATTTTGGGGAGATTTCACTTCTGCAAAATCACACAAATGGTAATTCACCTTTAAGTCAAGAAGTAACATTTATATTTTAAAGTGCACTTTTTTCCATCCCAAAATCATAAACCTCCCTTCCAACTTGAAATTAGTAAGATAGACAAAGAAACCTTTCATTTGCTTTCCCACAGATGGATATAGCATACAATTTTTATATATTTTATATATAAATTTATATTAATTTTTTTATATTTTATATACTTAATATTCCTTTTCCTGCAACGTGGAGACAGCAAACTTATCTGTAAGCTTGTCAAGTCATATGATTTTGTACAACCCAGCAGTGCTGTGTGACAGCCTTATAAACCTGGATGAGGTAATGCCTCCAGGGTACTATGTCAGAACTACAAACTTCAGAGCAAGAGACCTGGAATCTCCCTCATCTAACAGTACTGCACAGGAGGAGCACACATGATCTAAAGGCAAAGCCTAAACCACTGTATTTGAGAGAAGTATTGTCTTGCAAGAACAATAATTGCTTCACCTCTGCAGCTGGTAGCTCCAGACATTACTTTGAACTTTGTCTAGGTCAGAAATCAGCGTAACAGTTGCAATTATAGTAGCATTTAAAATTAAGCATTTTCTTTCACAGCAGAATTCTGACAGAATAGAGCAAAACAAAACCACTGCTGACATCCAGTAAGTTTTACTCTCTATTTTATTTGGCTATAATCTCATCCCTACTGCAATACTTACAGTTGGAGCAGGAGCCATAATGCCCATTGGTACAGGAATCATAGGGGTCCCTGAGAAAAACAATACATTAATATTAGTCTGTCCTGTTGAAAACTGATGAATACAAATGAAATTATTGCAGACATGCTTTTCAAATTAGACAGCAATTTTGGTCAAATAAGAATTTCACAGTGCTGATTACCAGTAACTCCTTAAGCCTTCCAACAAAGTACACTAAGGTATCATAGGCATCCTGTGTTACCATAGGTCACTTTCTGGTACTAGCATTTCAAGTTTATCACTAATCTATTTTCAGAGCATATTCTAGCCACAATATTGTTCTAGAAGACACTGGGTGGTGAATGAAGGCAGGGAATTCCTGACAGCAAAGGCAGTTGATGCCCTACAGATGATCTCGTTCCCAGCTTACACAATTCCCACAACACAATGGTTTCTGCATATGGCTTTAGGAATGAGGTCCTGTAGAGAATGGCACCAGGCTTCACGCCACTATTTGTGGAATAGCTTAATAAAGGCAGCATAAAAAAACCTCTACTGAGTAGCTGCCGAATACTTCACTTGGCAGCCTCCAACACCTTAGAACAACATTGAATTTTAATAATATTCATTAATTAATGACAAATAATACTTCAGTTAATATTTAATCAGATGAAACAATGTAATACCTCTTTTACACTACCAAATTCACTGGCAGCTTTTAATACTTTCATGAGCCAATATCTCTGATCGCAAGAAAGGCTCTTCATCTTTCCATGCCAGTTGCTAGAGGTTAAATATATTAAGTGAATGGATTTCATCAAAACTACTTGTTGATCAGCAGACACATTGAGACTTGAGAATAGTGAAGTCACCCTCATGTTCTCTACAGGGATCCTACGTTTTTCTTTCATTCTGCAAAAATCTTCCATCGTTTTTCCCTCTCAATCCTTCCCTTTTTATCCATCTCTTACTGCTGTATTCAAAAAATCCTAAATAAACTGCTACAACCTACTGCCCCTGGACTTCTTACCCCACTTTCTCTAGTGTTTAGTCTTGAAACACTTCTCCTCAGACTTCCTTTCCAATTTTTTTCCTCATCCACTCTGCTTTTCTTTATTTATTTTTCGTTTTCTCTAGCTCTCAATCCTCTTCCTCAGTCCCTTCATATTAAGATCATACTGCCTCCTAGTCCTCCAAACCATTCAGACAATCTATGACAAAACTATGTTGCTCTCCCATGTACTCAATTTTAAATACACCAGGGCATCTCACAGACTGTAGCAACTACTCCCCAATAAGACTGGTTGTGCAGCCCTATAATTATTATAATTATCACAATAGCTTTTAAAGTTACTCCCCAATGAGACTGGTTGTGCAGCCCTATAATTATTATAATTATCACAATAGCTTTTAAAGTTACGGTAACACACTTGTTGTTATCACTGATGATTCTATGAAACTATCTGCCCAATGTTCAGCAGAAGCCATAAAAATCTACTGACATATTTGGCATCATCAGGAAACATAATGACCACAGGCACTGTTTAGCTGCTACACAAAAGCTCAGTGCACCTACGGTTTTGACTACAGCCTACAGACCTAGTCTCTGCAACCCAAGGCCACCCAGCCTCAGAGAACAGCAACTACACAATTTCCTTGGTGAAGCAGCTGCTTTAGAAGGAAAGGCTACACACTCTGAGGCTCTTCAAGTGTGGAAGTTTGCAAGGCACTGATCATGGCTGAGGTGTACAAAACCATAAAACTCAACTCCCACATCAGAACTGAGGCAGGAGGGAGACAGGAAATAGGCAGTGAATTTAAAGACAGACTTAAGAGTAAGAGAGTAGCACTTTCCACAGCAGTTAATAAACTTCTCAAATTTAGTTGAAGAGGTGACAGAGATGAACAGTTAAAAATTCCAAAATGTCCATAAATGACAGGTCCAGAAAAAGACAAAAAACAACCTAAAGATGTCACTCCAAGATCCCTAACACTACAGGTGTATGAAGCAAGAGACTCAGAAAGCAGACAGGGATACATGCCCACCCTAAATACTGCCTTCTAGTCCCACTGCTCACACAATGCATCAGACAATATGGAATGCAGGTCTGACCTACTACAGCATTTCTGGCATGGAAAATGGGGTTTTTTCACCTTAGGGGTATCCAATAATCTTCACAGATTTATCAGAACCACCTCCTTATCAAATCTTCCACACTAATATTGGGAAATGCTAGAACTTCCTGTTTTTAGCAACCAGTATCTTTAAGCAAAGCAAACCACCTTTCCTAACTTTATTGTTATGCAAGCAAACGCCATCTGAAACTTTTCAAAAAATTACAGGCTGAGGTAATTAAGACCGAATATTCGACCAAACAGCTAGCTATAGATAATATTGTAAGCCACTAAAATTGTGATCTTACATATGGACTAAATTCAGAGCAGACTTTCATAAAATCTGTGGCATTTTCAGCTCTACTGATATGCTTATACTAAGAAGTGAGATCCATATCCTCTACAAGTCAAAATATGTTGTCTGCACAGGTAAGCAAATCAGGTTTCTCTTGTGCAGAGAAGAATTTTTCTCTCACCTAATACCAGGCTTTTCCACTCTACATACTATTCAGATTCCTAATTCTAAAATGGGACTATTTAAACACAACAAGAGAACAAAAAGGTCTTTGTCACGCATGCCAAGAAGCAAAATGTTCAGAGCAGAAAACTGTATCAAGCATTTAAAAATATATTTGAGAAAGTTATTTTTTTAAGCATCTGGTGTTTTATACACTAGTATACATAAATTGGAGCTAGGAAAAATGAGAGGTATGATTTTAAAATTGAACCTGAAATTTTTGATGGCAGGATATTACCTAAGCAAGAACTCTGCCTTTATCAGAAAACAGGTAACATCTCATGGTTCTCAAGAAAAATGTTTAGAAAAAAATAATGCAAGTAAAGATTAGCCTGATAAATGATGTACAGAAATCTTTTTGTAGTTCAACCATCTGTTCTTTGAATGCCTCTATTGTCTACAAAACACTCCTGCACAACACAGCTTAAGACAACACAGACAAAACAGGAGTTATTTTCTGCAGTCCTTGTGATGAATTTTGAAGAGGTAATTCTCTGATGTATTCCCCTCTCCCATTTGCTCTATGGCTTCCTGCCTCCAGTCATCATTATGTATACTCACAATGTACAGAAAGCAAGATGTTCCAGACCAACAAGTTGAAATCTCAACTCAAAAAACAGAGGCTGATCTTACAGATGAACAAAGAAAAAAGGTAGGAATAATTTTGGGAAGATTAGAAGAAATGATAAAAATAACTGTAAATTTGAAAGATGTGTGGAGGAAAGAATATAAGAAACAAAATAAAACAAAGTGGGACATCAAAAATGGAGAAAAACAATGCAGCAAGATGGACCTTCTCTGAAAGTTAACTACTCTATTGTCACGTTACATGTACTCAGTGTACCCAAGAGCTTCCAAAGGCTATTACAACGGATTACTATCAAAACAGTGTCTCTGGAACACTAATATTGACAGAAATCACCACTCAGCTTCAGTCTTGAATAAAGACTCAAGAAAAGGCCTGTATTTAATTTCTGGTCAAAAGTAAACAGTTTTTGGTAGACCTAAAGGAGCTTACTCCCATGACATGATATATGGGAAAACTAGAAACTCAACTGCGAGGTACACAAATCAGAGTTCCCAAGATATATTATTTACAAAAATTACTGGCTTTTAAAGGCATTCAGAATAATATCAAGAAATTAATTTCTAAAATATTTCCATATATTAATACAACTTACCAGGAGGTACAGGTGGAGGAAAGCCAGGAAACTGTGGAGGGGGGATCCCAGGGGGAAGTGTCGGGATTCCCATAGGAGGGCGATTCAAATGAGGTGGAAAAGACATTCTTGCAGTCACAATCTATCAAAAAGACAGAAAAGGAAACTTGTAGCAGTCAGTTCCCAAATGTGAATTATGAAAGCAGTGAAGTGGTAAGTGTCCATAATTGTTTTAAATTTTTATTTGGATATTCAACTACAAACTAAAACTATTTTTTCCCCAGCTATTCATTACATTACAGATGTAGTAAAGTCTTCTTTCTCAACTAAAACCAGCACTTCTAAGGAAGTGTTTCAGAATGGAGTGAAAAACAAAGTTATATCTGACTCCTCATACCAATAAAGCGCATTTAACAGTTTGTACAGTTTCTTTAAAATAAAGCTATCTTTGCAGTATCTGAAAGCAAAACTGATCTTGTAAGACATTTCCAATAAAGCAAGTAGTTCTGTTGTACAAAAAATGATCACAAACAATACAACTGTAGAACAAGACACCAGAAAGAGCTGGGACAACACAATGCTCAGCATTAATGGCAGCCGTATTTAAGAGGACCGTGGGGAGATTCTCAAATTCCAGCAGAGAGTTAAAAGTCTGAAAGAGGGTTCTGTGATCTATTTTTAACTTCCCAGTCCACAAATCTCCTAGAGCACAACTTGGACATTAGCCCATGAGCTGGGTGTCGACATGCTCCCATAGAGAGTAAAGATCATTTCAAATACCATTTTCTATTAATATTATTATTTTACATGCATATTACTGACCCTGAAACAGACAACAACCAGCCATAAAACACTCCAGGATCACCCTTAATACAACTAAGGCATGCATTCTTCCAGTATTGTTTCAGTAACCTTATACTGCAGTCAAGTGTTCACTGAAGGTTGGCCCTCAGTTCTAAAAAACCCAAAACTGGTCAGAATATTACTGCTGAGCATATACCTACATTCACACTGCAGCGAGGAAGCATTGGAGAAGTTCATACACAGTGGATCATGTGGATATGAATCACGAAGACACAGTATCACAAGTGACAAGAACCCAGTGAGCTGTCGGCAGAAACGTTTTCGTTTCTCATTGGACTCTACGGAATGCCTTACAACCTACAGTGTCAGTTCTGCACTGCAACTGCTTTCCAAACAGGCACCTATGAGTCAAAACCTGAAGCAAAGCTGCCTGGAGAAACTGAGTTATGGCAAGAAAAATTCTGATACATTCAACTGAACTGCAGATTGTAACATGCTTTCTTCAAGGCAGGAATACAATGGCACTCAACAGCAAGGAATGGAAAACAAGTTTTGCTGGTGACAGACGTACCTTCCAGACTTGTTCAAGAGCAAGCCATTAATCTTAAATACTAGAAGTAAAAGACAGTATCAGTACTCTATATATATACTCTACCATAATAGCAGGTACATCTGGAAGATCTAAAAAAAATCTGAAACCAGAATCATATAGAAAAATTTCATTCCCTCTGATTCTGGAAACAACTACAAGAGATAAATATATAGCAGACTGGAAAGGATGAGAGAAACCCAAATGTATTTGGTAATACCTTCTAACATCAGAATTACTTATTCTGGTCTAAGAACACATATATAACCCTATCACATAATTCATCCAAGGAAACATTTACAACTACATCAATTACACGAGGTATGTGATAAGGGCATTCATTAATATTAATATTCCTTAATATATTCATTATATTAACTGAATTGATATAATTAAATGCCCTGAGGGCATTTATCAATATCTCGCTAGGCAAAACAATGAACACTCCTGTGATACAAGGTCTAAGATGGCAGAAGTAAGAGAGCAAATGGAAACATTCTTCCAACAGTTCAATAAAGCTTTTATGCAATCTAATAAAACCTCCCCTCACTTTCAGAATCCATATGCCTAAGAACACTTTTCCTTTCTACAATTCCTGAATTTTTAAAACTGTACTAAGAAAAGCAGCAAATATGTACTCCATTTTATTTTTGTAAAAGTTGCTTATTGTCTCTTCAGACTACATGTACATCAGTTGACATTAATCTAGAATCTGGAACTTGTATGGTATGGAACAGAACTCCCTTATCTGCCTTGGTGCCACTAGTTGAAACTTTCACACACAAAAAAAAAAAAAAAAAGCCAACAGAAACCCCACAAAATTAAGATCTTTAAGGCTCTCAATTCTTACCTATATTTCAAGCTGATAAACAACTGGATAAAATTCAAAGCTGTTTTGGGGTAGATGGTACAAACAATAAGCTATTGGGTCTGAAATGGTTCTAAACAGGCTACAACACAGTTGCACCATCTGAAGTCCACAAGATGTTAAGGCATGGTCTGTGGAACATATAAGAATTTGGGAATTTTTCAGGCTGCCTGCAGGTGCAATCTCTTCTCTCGCTCTGATAAGCACTTTATTCGAGCCATCATTTTAGAGATGGTAACAGATAAAGCCTGGGGACTAAGTGGTGAATCAGTTCTTTGAATTAAAAGATGGAAAACATACCATACCCAGTGGATGTTACATATGCACAGAGAAGGAACTGTTTGGTTGGGGTTTTTTAATAATTTAAATTTAAAAAAGCAAAATTTAGCAGTCGACAAAGTTACTTTTGCTGCATAAAAGGAAAAAGGCAGTGGGAACAAACTTAGTCCTTTAATCTTTTGGGCAGATGATATGGAACACACTGTTATACACAGGGCTTCCATAGTACATTTCAAAGCATTCTGTTCCTTCTCCCCCATATTTGTACAACTACTTTCACAGCAGCTAGAAAGTTTAATTCTTCCATGGACCAATCCTAGCAACTCTGCTGCCTGTGGCATTTAAGATCAAAACTAGAACTAAAGAAAGTCTTGGTCTCTTTCTCACTACTCTGTGTAACTACTAATGTGAAAACAGCAGAGAGAACAGTTAAATTCTGTTTCCGTTATGAAAGCTGTGAAGATCAAAATACCAGGAGTGAAATTGCTCACTGGAGAAGTGAGAGATCTGGACAAGGGAGGAAGATGCATCCAAGATGCTACAATGAAGGGAACTGCACCACACATTCTTTTCTGTCAGGAGCTAGAGAACACACTGCAAACATAGATACTCTTCCAACAGTGACTCTGCCTCAAATTATTAAGCAACTACAAATCAAAGGTTAGGTATGAAAAGTTAGGATATGTTAAGCTGAATCTATGTAGAATTCACTTGCAAACATCTCAGGAACAGCATCTAGAACTTCTCTGCAGAGCATTCTCCTACCCTGCCGGTACAGCTCAGTGTCAATTTCTGACAGATTTACTGTGATCTCAGGAACATACATGGCAATCTTCCAACTTCCCCAATTTATTCAAATATCTAACTATGAAACTAAACAGTCAAATATATTTTTAAAACCTCAGCTGACTTATGGAAGTATTACCTCTAGTTAAACTGAACATAGTCAGCATTCTTGACAGCTGCAGTTTAACTAACAGTTCTCTAAGCAAGAGTTTAACTTGTGTGAATGTCACAGTGGCCACGAAAATACAGGAGAAATAAAAGCAGTGATCAACTGGCTTGGTATCACTCAAAATACTGAAATAACAACATCTTTACCTCCCAAAATGATGGACTGATGCCAGGTCTCAGACTCAAGGTGCAGTCAGTTTAGGCTGTGTCTGTGCCAGGAAGCAATACAATTGGAACAAGTCTGTTAAACAAAACTAATGTCCTCACAACATGTTTCGGGGACTAAAACAAATGCCAGTTTGTAGGTACGAGTGCATTTTTGAATATATTTTCATCCAAAAGGAATCCAGCTTATCCATTGGAATAGCACAAGCCAGTATGGAATAAACTTCCTAAGTGATGATGACTGTGAGACTTCCTTCCAAAGCACACCTTTGATCTAAGTGAACACAGTAACATAGACGCACACTTTATTAGCCTTGGGCCATTTCTCTATGCTGTACATTAATTCTTTCATGCGTGGCAAAACACCTAGGTTTACTCTGTGAAGACCCAGCTCAAAAACAGCCTGAGCTACTAAGGCAAGTGTTATATAAACACAGCTATAATATTCCAGGTTCAACTTTGGCCCAGAAGGAACTCAGTTGCTTTCTACATTGCACTTCTGACTTAAGTCTTGGTGGAACCAAGCAAGCAACATGCAGAGCCATCTGCATCAATCTTCTGAAACTTAGAGAGAGTACAGGGATATCCATATGGTTCTAAAGTTTGGTAAAATCCATTGAGACTGGTTAATCCTGTCATGGTGAGATCCCTGCTGGGATGGAGCTTTGTCCACTAGAAGCACACTGGCTCTGATTTGCAACTAAGCAAACACAGAGAGCTGGCCTCAGGGCTGGAATCAAGTGTCTGAGCCCACACAGAACTCACAACTACTATGAAACAAGGGTCACCATCACCTAGATGCTGAAACAACACTGCACTGTTCTTCTTTATCATCTCTGACTCCCAGAAGTCCCAATAATAGAGGACTGAGATTGTACTGGTCTGGCTGCACTGTTAATGCAGTAATTCCTTTTTAAATCATAGTATTCTTTTAACCTTCTGTTTTACTGACCCCATTTTTTAAAATACAGGGATGAAGGGGTATATCATAAGCAGAATATTTCAAATAAAATTCAATAAAAAGAAATTCAAAGAAATTCAATAAAAATTGCTGTTAATGGAAGTATTTTAAATTGACAATTCTATAATCTACTCAGGGCAGCATCATAATTCTACCACTGTCACAGGATTAATACCCTTAGTATCTCTATCTGCACATTAGAAACTTGCAAAACTTCTTAACCAATTTCAAAGCAGTGAAGTTCCCCATGAAACAACCAGTTACAATACTCACTACTGTTACACTAAACGAAGTTGAAACTGACTGCAAAACCCCTGAAGTCTTACACAAACTTAATGTGTTTTAAGAATACATACATGAGGTGTCATAGCAACAGTGATGGCTGATCTAGTTTAATTTTATCTGATTTTAACTTCCTTTCAGTATTTTCCCAAAACACTACTTCCGCACCACAAAACATCTGTACCCTTAGTCTAGAATAAGTTGCACAAAACAGCTGTGCAGGCTGAAGAAAACATATGCAACAAACCAGTTTGTTAAAGTCAGTACTATCACACAGGCGTGTGCATTGGTCTCTACACCATGGGTGGATATTTAAGCCATTCTGTTATTAAAAAAACCTCCTAATTTGTCACCCAATAAGGGTGCTGTTTATATTATTGCTTGCCATCAAAAAAAAAAAGCTCCTTACAAGAAAAATCTTCTATTCCAAGCCAACTGGTTTCCTCAATAAAAATGACCACTTTCTCAGACCCCTAGTTTTCTCCAAAATGGCCAGCAAGCTAAGCAAGATTTCAATGTTAAACCAAACAGGCATGGGGAGAGATAAAATATACTACAGGTTTCTTAAGTTAAGGACAAAAATACTAGTATTTGATCTCCAGAGGTGATCTAGAAAGAGTTTAGTAACTGCTAGGGAACAGTCACATCCCACACTATTATTACAATCCAACACAAAAAGCAATGTGTTTACCCAAATGAAAGCCCCAGTCCAAAAGCTCTTTAAGTAGGGGTCCATTAAGTATATCATCAGAACTTTACGATGTTTAATTCCTAATTCTGTGCCTCTGCACCCATATAAAACCCTGGTTAGTGAAATAAGTGACTTTCCATTCTAACTTGGCTATTGACACTTCCCAAAACAGAAACATGGCTGTGGCATTACAACACTTAACTGAATGGGCACTCAGAAGCAGAGAAGCAGTCAAAGGCTAAGCACTCTGATCTGTGCCACTCCTTTACAGAAAAAGTAAGAAACTCTCCTGTTCTTCCTTCGAATTTGCTTTGGACTCCCCCCATAAATGCTGATGCAATACCTGAAGTAATGCTTTCCTGACACACACACAAAAAAAGGACTAAATTTCAGTGTGCCTATATTTTAGTCTGAATGGACTAAGAAATATAAAACTTTTAAGAGCTCACTTTCTCTAAAGCCGTTTAAGACCTAGAAAAAAGAAGGAAAAACAACAAAGCCGTTAGTTGTGCTCTGGATAGTCACTGTGTTTAAACAAAAAAACTCTCCTTCGGGAAGACAAAGGTCTTTTTCTTCAACGGAAGAAGACATAATGAGAAAAACACGCCGTGTGCACCTCACAGCGGCTACTGACACGGATGAATCACTCTTGATTATTTTACGCACGACCTGCTAACACGTGTTTTAAGATGACTACTCCAATCCACAATAACGACAGTAACTTCCCAGTCGCAATATATCGCGTTTCCTAGCGTGATCGGCTTACCCAGCGTGCGAAATTAAAAATCCCACCCACAGACCGAGGCGGCCGGGCCCGGGGAGCAGCGTCGGGCTCCAGCAAAGCTCGGCGCAGGTCCTCGTCCCGGCCGTGCGACGAGTCCCCTTCGCCTCCCGCGGAGCCGCTCCCGTCCCTCCCGCCGGGGTCGGCGGAATGGACTCCCACGCGTCCCAGCGGGAGAGGAAGCGAACGGGCCTCGTGAGCACCGCCCCGAGGCCGCTCGCCCGTTCCACGCCCCGTCCAGGCCCGAGCNCCATCTTCAGTGCGGGCGGGCGGGCGGCCCGGGGCCGTGATCCGGCCCGGAGCTCCGCCATATCCAGGTCAATGCCGCCGCTCGGGGCTGGGGCGGCTGGAGACTCTGGAAAGCATCCGTCTGTGTGCGGCACGGAGCCTTGCCCGTCTGTCAGCCGTCATGGTCCCCTCAGCCGGACACTCAGGCCAGGCTGAGCTGCCACCCGCCCGTGACGGTGGTTGGGAAGGGCTGTACCGCAGGCAGAGAATCCTCTCCCTCGACCTGCTGCCCGCATTGTTTGGGATGCAGCCCAGGATACAACTGGCTTTCATGGAAGGTTCTGTCTGCTGTAAAACATCAAAGGATTTACACAGCAAAGAAGAGCGAACACTACTGTCTTAGGCAGCCGTATGCTCATCAGAAAGATGTCACTGTGCTGTTGGGCCTAGCTATAGTCTACAACTGGTAGTTTCTCTGACCTACTTGCAGCATTTAGACTACATTAAGAGACGATTTTCAACATGACATGAAAGACGGTAATTGCTGTAGTTACACCATTGGTGGCAAGGAGTTGCAAGTGGAAAGAGGAAGTGACTGTGAATGAAAGGAACGTGATCTTAGAGATTATTATGAGGTAGACCACAAAATGAACATATGTGCATAAATGCTGTTTAACAAATGAAAAAAAATATGCATTGTATTTTCTGTTGTTTAAAGAAAGGTGCACAAGAGTCAAATGACATATCTCCACCTGTAGACCAACTTCTTTGGTACAAAGCAGATTAAAACTACCTGGATGATGCCATACGTGCTACTGCCAACAATTGCATTGGAACTAAGGTCCTGTTCATCACCTTGCTCTACAAGATGATGTGTAAGGGTATATATTTTACCAGTAGTAGATTTAAGAAGTACTTCAAGTTTGGATGCAATTCCCCCCAGAAAGAGTATTTTTACTTTCTATTAATTAGTTAATTATAACAGTTTATTCCAAGCAGCTGGTGTATCTTCTTCAAACTAATATAAATTTAGTAATTTTAATACTGACTACTATTATTATTTAAAATAATTTATAAGCATGCCTAGGAAAACCAAGGAAAAGAGAAAGCGCATAACAAAAATTTCCAGTATCTACTATGTGTTGTTGTCTCAGACAACAGCTCAGCCTGAAAAAGAAAGGTGACTCCCAAACTGACTTGTACTGCTGTAATAAGTTTTTATTTACAGGAAACTTTGCAAAGGCTTTGCTCATGTACATGTTAATTTATTTTTTTTTAGCCAAATAAATGGGCTATTTTGCATTTATTCCTATCAACAAAATCACAAATCAACTGTAGCCTTCTGTATCCTTAATCAAGGAAGAATAGCAGCAGAAGCACCTGGTAAATGTAGCTCCTTTTGTGTCTTTACTCTTTCTGCTATGGGATTTTAGAATTACCCACCCCTAGTGTTTGTATTATCCTCCAGCCTTTCAGTCACACAACTGAGATCCCCTTTCCAGATACTGAACACAGTTCACTTTCTTCAGTTCTCAATGCAAACCCTGGAGTTTCGTGCTCAAACCAATCATGAAGATTGCAGTACATGGCTTTTAATATTAAGGGTTTTTTTTGTCTGCCAATTGTCTTGTATTTCAAGTATGAGAAATCATCCCAAAAGTGTTAGGCAGCACCTCAAGATACAGGGGTCACATTGTTTCTAGACTATGCATTTTAAACATTTTATATGCATTTTTTCTTCCCTTATATCCTTTAATGTGTCCCTCTGTCACATTACCAGTCTAAATAGAGCCACTTAGAGGATATTAGCCCTTAGATGCCAGACTCATTGATCTTGTTCTTTGGCTCCTCTGAATAGCACTGTGAGACTTAAAAGTTTCTACCTCGTATGTATTAGTTATATTCATTATTCAGAATTTTTTCAGTCTGAGGATACTTGGTTCACCAAAACTTCATTCTTTTAGATGTCAGTCTATTTTGTCAATCTCTCAAATGAATCTTTTATGCAAAATACTGAGTGAAAATACATTATTGTAACAGCATGAAAGAGAATAGGGAAGAGAGTAACTGTGCCAGGTTTCATTCATCATCACTAAACTGCATAAAAGAAAAATAATTAAATCGTGTATATGCCTACACAAATATATATATAGTACAATGTAGTATAACAAAAGTCCTTCAGCAATACACTTGAATCTGAGAGGGCCTCAGTCACTCGTGTTAGAAAATTCATTGATGCCTCATTTTCACAGTAATTGGACCTGCTGACTCAGTTTTGTGAAATGATGATACTTCAAAGGTAAACTCAGAATCACTGCCTTCTACATGGATATCCAATTGTGTAATTTGGCTCCCTCTAGAACTTACTTGTCTAAAACTGAAAGCAGAGGACCAAAGGATGGGGCACCCTATAGCTGTCTGTTACTTATCAACATGCAACGTCCACTGAAGGAAAACAGTGCATGTCCTTCCTCTGGTGAAATGACTACTATCCAAACATCCAGCTGAAAACTCTTGTTACTGTAGAAGAGAAATTGTCTGTGCACTGGCTATGCTACAAGAAAAACATTTTTGCATATGATCCAAATCAAAAATGAAAAATAACTCACTATTTTCTTCTAGCACCCCATGAGCCAGCGGCGAGCTCACTGGAGCCACTACTTGCCAAGGTTATTTCCTCGCCGTGTGGTTTCTTTGACTGTCTCTGTCCGGCGTTCACCTCCCATTCCCACAGCTCCGGTTTGTGACAGTGAATCTGCCATTTTTTGGGCAGGTGTGTGCCTCTATTTTGGACCTGCAGTCTCTTTCAGCTATATAAAAGATGGCTGTTCACCCATAGGTTGAAGCTACAGTCATGAAAATAAAACCCAAAGGCTGCAATGACAGTGACCAGTGGCTCTCCTTGTCGAGACTTCGTTTAAACCCACGAATGGCAGATGAGATTTGGGCGGCAAGTGCTCTCTCCTCAGCTGGGCACCGTGATCCATTCGTTTGCCAGACCTGGAGGCCTGGGAGCAGCCGCTCGATCTTTTTGCGGGCGGTGGGAGGAAAGAGCTTCGCTACGAATTTCACCCCTTTAAACCCTGCTGGGGGGCTGTTTACACTCCTCCGGCGCAGCTCCTCCGGGAACCCAGGCAGGTGCGGGACAGTTGAACGAAAGCAAAACGAAGGGAGCAGAAAACCTCGGCGTCCCCGCAAGGGCCGCGGCACC